GGCATCCGATATGTTCGACGAATACTTAAAGATGTCTGCTCGGAGCATCAGGTCCTGTGTTTATAAATTTTCAAAGGCTATTATTCAAATTTATCATAAAAGATATTTACGCAAGCCTACAGCGAGTGACATCCAGCAGTTGCAGGCGAGGCATGCCGCAAAACACGGCTTTGTCGGCATGCTTGGGAGTATTGATTGCACGGATTGGGAATGGAAAAATTGTCCCACTGCGTGGCACGGTCAATTCTCTCGGGGAGATCATCCGAAGCCTACCATCATGCTCGAAGCTGTTGCTTCGAATGACTTGTGGATTTGGCATGCTTTTTTCGGTGTCGCGGGCTCGAACAACGACATCAACGTTCTCGATCAATCCCCTGTTTTTGATGATTGGGTTAATGAGACCGCACCAGACTCCACTTTTGAGCTTAGAGGGACGCTTTACAAGCGTGGATATTATTTGGCTGATGGAATATATCCGGATTATTCCACGATTGTCAAATCTCTCTCGAACCAATGGGTCTTAAACGCAAAACCTACAAAAAAGCTCAAGAGGCGGAGAGAAAAAAGATATTGAACGAGCCTTTGGGGTCTTGAAGGCTAAGTGGCACATTCTAGATCGTCCGTCGAAATGTTATTCTCAGACAAAAATGAGGAATATCATGTACGCATGTATTATTCTTCATAATATGATCATAGAGGATAACGGGTCTGCGATTTGTCAATACAACCCGGACGAGGAGGTGTCAATGTACGAAGAAATCACCGAAGAAAAGAAGCGACGCAACCGCCAAAAAATTCGAAGCCGAGAGATTCACAATGCACTAACGGCGGATTTGATCGAGCATTTCTTTAATCGTTCGAATAATTAGTGATTTCTTTGTACTGTTGTTTTTTTATGTAATTTTTTTAATGTTTTTTTTATTAATGTAAGATTTTTTTTATAATGAATTTAATTTTTTTTATGCAATAGTGTCATTGCGATTAATTAAAATAATAAATTAATTTAAATTTATAAATTTATATTTAGAAGATGTATATTTAAAAATGTAAAAAATGAAGGTTTGAAGCCCCAGTTTGAAGCCCCGGGGCTTCAAAACCATTTCCAGTGAATTTTGAGTATAAGTTAAAGCTGACGTGGCAGAGAGAGAAAGTTTGAAGCCCCGGTTTGAAGCCTCGGGGCTTCATGACCATTACGAGTGCTCTTAAGGACACTTCAGCTTTATTCTCAAGCCACCAAAGTGAGGATTATGCTCTCAGTGCCTATTGATTTTCTATTTTTTCTTAAAAGAAATCTATGCAAATAGGCTAAAATATTGAACGTGTACCAAAACATGTCGCATGTTTTTGTCTCATAAATATAAGGAGAAATTTACACTAAATAGGACTAAAACATAATGACTTTCCTAATGTAGGACTTAAACTTTTTTATTCCTTAAATAGGACATAATAATGATCTCGTGGGAGGAATAATGTCCAGTAATGCTAGACATTTACTTGAATAATGACTACTTGTTAATGATCAAAAGTCCTACATTGGGAAATAAAAACATATGGTCCTATATAGGAAAAGTCGTTATGTTTTAGTATTTCTATAAATATAAGTGCATGTTGACACTGTGTAATGTTACACGTTGGCTTTGTTTGGTGATATTTTAGTGTTATTTTTGCATTATATATTGATACTTTTTGACAATAAAATTTTTATTTTGGAGATAAATATATGAAAGTTCTATTTTGGAGATAAATCATTACTTTTGTCACTTTTTACATATGTTTTGACATATTTTAAAAATTATAAATTATTTTAGCTATCTATTTTATCATAAAAATATTTCTCTTAACTTAAAAAAACTTCATAGGAAAAGTGTAAATTCTATAATTGATCCTTTATAACAGGGGAGTTTCCCTATTTAGGTCCCGTTCCGTTTAACTTATTTTTTCTTATTCTTATTAAAATCAGATCAGATCAGATCAGACTAGATCAGATCAGATCAAATCAAATCAGATCAGATCCAATCAGATTAGATTCCATAAGATCAGATCAGATCCAATCAGATTAGATCAGATCCAATCAGATCAGATCAGATCCAATCAGATCAGATCAGATCAGGACTTATTAAAATCAGATGCCATCAAGAATTATTGTTATTTTTATTATTATTATCATCATCATCATCATCATTATTATCATTATCATCATCATTATTATTATTATTATTATTATTGTTCTTAAAAATAAAACAAAATAAACTTTAGAAATAGGTTAAATAGAAAACTGAGAAAGTAATCCTTAATTAATAGACGTCAGAAAAATTAGTTTTAAAATACATTGACAATGTCAATCTAATTCTACTTTTAAAATATATTTTTATTGCTACTTGTAATTTGAGTTTCTAAACTTTTGATCTTTTATAAAGATGAGATATTTTAATAAAAATACTATCTCTTCTATATATTGATTATCTAAATTTATGTACTTTTTAATGCATATCTAAATTAAATATTTATTCTAATGTATAATTCTAATTTTACAAAAAAATAATCATAAAATAAAAAATATTATTACATTATAATATGAATGATTATTCTAATATATGAATTAACTATTTTTATTTTATTAAAAAATAATCATTAAATAAAAAATATTGATTATATTATAATATGAATTATCATTACAATTTTCAAACGTTATTATAAAGTCAAATTAAATTATTGATTTGAAATTTTAAATTAAATCATAATTAATCAGATCAGACTAGATCAGATCAGATCTAATCAGATTCAATCAGATCAGATCAGATCTCATCAGATCAGATCAGATCAGATTTAATCAGGTCAGATCAGATCCACTCAGATCAGATCAGA